GTAACCAGTCTTGTGATTGGTTGTTGACAAATGCTGAACAGGCCACGCCTCCAACTGTGCTGTGCATTCGGGCAAACCGTGAAGGAATACGTCCAGAAAATGTGATATTGGTACAATAAATCGCACGATAAGCACATGGAAGGCGAACCTGGAAACAACTCACGAGCTAAAAACTGTTTTTGCGCAGAACGATGCCAGAATTTTAAGTTCTGCGCATAGCAATATGCGTTGGTATAGAACGTGTTGAATTCTGGGTAAAACCTCGTACCGTGAGATAGGTATAATTAAAATTTCAACATTCCCACATATTAACATTAGTATACGATTAGGATATTCATTTAGAACAGGTTGCTGTTTTTTTCCAGTTTAAAAAATATGCGTCTTCACCCCTTGTCTACTGTATTTCTTACACAATATTTAGATGCCAACCGACGACGCCCCCCCCCCCCTTACCCGCTTCGAGACTGTTTACAGTTGATTATAGTTTCTGGTCTCCCCGTGATCAAACGCTGCAAAACTGGCTGCTTTTCTAAGCATATTGACGGAAGAAAGCCTGACAAATCTGTGTGTTTTATATACATCAATTTTGTAGTTTGTACATACAATAAATAACTTACCGTATCAACTTAGAGAGTCTTTTCCAAGTGTGTTTGCTTCTTTGGCTGCTTCATGCCCCAAGTGTAATTTTGCAAAGGATGCCGGGAACCATCATAGAGGGCGTTTGTTCCCAGCATTCTTCATTCACACTCTTCGAATGACGTAAAGCCATGGTACACGAGGCAACGCCGTTGCCTTACGGGCCCGGCTTACGGCTTGCTACGTGTGTATGATATAATTGCGTCGCCTGAAAACCCTTCATGCCGGTTTTTCAAGCAGCTACTTGCCTGTAAGTTGCCACAGTCAGCTGAGGGTACATAGCTCGTGGCGTTATATCTGTTGCAAACTTTGACCTTTTCGCATAAACAACGTTCTACCTTTGATGTTTTCTTCAAATTTATTTTGTTGTAAGCTCAATTTAGTATAAATGAGATCTTTATGCGTTACATTTATTCAATCTGAAAGAAATTGAATCCATTCTTAGTTTTGTCACTCAGCTATCTTCATAAGTGACACTCGCCATAAGGCCCGGAACGAATTATGTTTAGCCATATATTAGTATATTTCACCTTAGTGTGATTCCAAGTTGGTGGGATAGTTTTAATTTTGACAATCATAAATCATTAAAAATATAAAATAATGAAACACTGATTACAAAGTTTTGTTTTTCTCGTCTTATTTGTATTCTATTGGAGTGAATAGATTTGAAGTGTGGGACAACTTTGCCGTTGATAGTATATTTTATGCGTCTCCTAAAAGCAAATAAAAAAAAACGTGTTTTTTTATTTGAATACTATTGTATTAGGAGTTTCATAACAAAGATATGAAGCCAATTATTGACAATTTATTTTATGCTAATTTCATATTCTGCAGTCCAATTGTTCGGCAAATGAACTTTAAAGTTTCAAGACCCAAATCAAATAATTTACCTGGTTCTGGTTCATCATGTTACAATGTCATATACTGTATTCTGAAAGATTCAATTTATTTAGTCTTATATCATCTTTCCGAGGGGGTGTTCACCTTGATTTCAAACCAAAAGGATCGATGTTGAGGGCGCTTGTCACCAAAAATTGGCTACATTTTGCTAAAATGTCCGAAAATCTTTAAAATAGGAGTCACAATGATCGACTCGAGCGTTAAATTAGGGGTCAGAATAGCCGCGCATACCCGTATACCCTAAAGGGCGGTGGTGGTCGCGCAGCGCGTGTTCGATTTTCGAGTAAATAAACAATGTATTTTACACGCGTTGTATACGTCGCTATGAGTCCCACATTGAACAGGACGCGGCGCGACGACGACCGCCATTTAACTATATGAGTGCCCCCCGTGGGGTAATGAGATGATCTTTTTAGGTACTACGCCGTCCCAACGTTTTCTAAACAGCTAGTTTTAATAGTGAATGTTGTCATTTTTAGTCTGTTGAATGCTTGTTTACATAAGATATATGTTATCCCTTACTTACTTTTATTACTTTTAAAGGGTTTACGCCCTTACACAAAGCAGATACACTGTTTGCAAGTGAACAAATTCAAGACAGAATCAGCATGATGCTTGCGTTGATGATGAGTTGATGAACCGTCAAAAATATTGTTGATATATTATCACAATCGGAGATCATGCATGCCAAATATAAATGCATTTCTTGTTAGGATTTTGAAGAAGTCGAAGAAGCCAGCATACAAGGAAAACGACAAACGATGACGTCACGAACAATTAATACTCCAATGCCTGTGAATAGTGATTTAGAAATAAGCAAGCAGAAACGAGCGTTTTTCGTTTATATTACATTTACTATGTCTTTGTTTAGGAATAAGAAACAATTTGGAGAATGACCATGTTCACCCATGTATTCAAAAGAACTGCTGATCAGGAATATTATCGAGTGATCAAAGACTGATCAACATAATAATTATGTTCAATGTAACAATGGCAATCACATAGACATCCTTATGAATATTTACACCACACATACTCGTACAGTAACAAAACCAAGATTTATTCTGTGTTCGCACTTATGCCTCAAAGTGGAATGTTTCACTTAGATAATGGCATATAAATAAGCAAATACACATTCACCTGACAGAATGATATGAATCATATTCTGGTCTGTTATGACATGGCCAATAACATTTGTCATTCATATTCGAACATTAATTGGATATGGGCACAAATAAAATAAACTTGTAATGTAATAATGACATTTTCTGTAGCCGATTAACAATTCTTAAATAACTGTTACATATATAAACGTTTAAAAGCTGTTGATTTAATCACAAAAAAAGATGGCAAAATTGATAAAAAGGAATGAAACATTAATATTTCCGTATGTACATCATAAAAAAGTGTGACCAATACAAATACATATATGCTTGATTGTTGTCCGATATCCGTATAACGTTTACAATAAGTGGAAGTGTAAATTACTGTAGATTACTTTATTTTCGCTTGGAATTAATTTTCGCTGAAGAATGGTTCAATGAAACTAAAATCCAGCGAATATAATTTTTTTTCCTATATTTTACATTAAACTTGTAAAAAATCAGTGAAAATAAATTTCATACAAAATACCAAAAATGTCTTTTCAGCGAAAATAAATTCCAGCTAAAATAAAGTATTCTACAGTATATCAGTCATTTATATATATTGGGCAAACTATGTTTTGTAAACCAATATTCAGCTTTGCAGCCTAACAGTGACGCAATGCTTATCGGGTCGTAATGAAATTGACGAGTACGGTGATGGAACTTTAATTTTAGTAGTCAATTCCAGCACACCTTCAAATGGGTCTAAAGTGTATATGTAGATGAAGTGAATAGGGTCATAAACAGATATTATGCCACTTATAATGTATATCTTATTATTGCAAACAGTGGCTGTGTACCGGCCATGATAAGTGTCGGTCTCTAATCCGGGAATCGCACGCAACCATTCGTACCTTTTTGGGTCATAGACATAGATCGTGCTGGCGTCCTTGAAAAGATATATAAATTGGTCAAAAACAACAGCCACAGTGTCCTTCTTGGGTACCTCTTCTGGTAAGTCACCAACATGCATCCACGTATCAGAATTTGGATCATAACACTGGATCATCTCTGTCTCTTTATAATGCATGTATCTACCGCCAAAAACGTATATTTTTCCACCATAAGCAACTGCACACGTCCCTTCTACTTTCTTTAACATTGGCTCAACTAAAACTTCGCGTTTTTTATTCAAGTCATAAGCATGGAATCTGCCTCCAATAAAGTATATCCTTTCATCGACTAATATCATCTTCAATTCATCACGATCACCGTCGATCAATTCATCTACTTCTATATTCCACTCACGCGTATCCATATTGAATGTATGAATACCTTTTGACACCCTAGTTACGATAGAGTTGTCATAAACCACGGCACTTCCTTTCAATGATGAGGTGTTAGTTGTCAAGTGGGACCATGCATTGTTTATTGGATTGAAGTAATTGATATCTCCAGCCTTTTGACCATCAAGAACAGCTCCAATGAAACACACTACATTGTTTGTTTCTCTCGGTTTCTGATTCTCGAAAGTTCTATCACTTGAAGTAAGTCTGCCTTCAAGTTTTGAAACTAGAGTGGTTTTAGGTGTCACTTTTGACAGTTCTTTGCCGATTTGTTTAACTAAATATAAAGAAGTGATTAATTCCAGTCTGACATGTTGTAATATTTCAACAAAATAATGTCTCCTGGAATCTTCGTCATAGTGAAACCAGTCCAGCACCGCTGATCCGGCTTGATTTTCTCTATCAATAGCAAGGTGCTCATCTGATATAAGTTCTATCAGCTCTTCCTGTGTTAATTCTAAAAACTGTTGTAGCTTACAAACCAATTTGAAATGATCCAATACGTATATTTTCGCCTGTTCGCTGAATGAAAGAGAAAGTGACACCATCATCTGCCAAATATCAAGGCACGTCTCAGCATTCATGTTGGTTATTAGAAACTTGGCACATTTATCCCTTAAAGTCAACACTTGAAAAAAGTTTGCAGCTCTTAGGACACTCTGTACATTGCAACTGGTGATAGTGGTTTTCCCGGTGTAAAAGTAATCAAGGAGTGATCCCATTGTAGTGGCTTCAATTGCTTTGATGGATATTTTACGTTGTTGGCACTCCTTCATACCACTGTCGAACATACCCTTAAAGTAAGTGCAGCTGGTTGCCAGCACTACTTTATGACACGGGAACTCAGTGCCACCCACGTCGAGTACGACATCAGTTAGTTTGGATTTCTTCCTTGCCACATTCATTTCATCTAAACGTGATGAAGAGTAATCAAGATCATTAACTTGAGAAGACACAACTATGTTGTAAGGCGTTTCCTCAACTTCAGCTTTCATTAAAATCTGATCTTCTAAGATGGATGACATTATGGACCTGAAAAAACAAAATATAACAGTTTTCTTATATGACTGCAGTACAATGTATGTAAGTTTTAAATATTATTATGTCATTTTAATTATATTTCATTGGGATTATAATAATATTCGTATGTGATTTCAATCGAGTGCAATAGTATACTGATATGGTTTCAAAATCTATATCTATATTAAAGTAAATTTAAAGCATTTTCATATGATTAAAATAGTATTATTGTGTTATTACAAAATTAGGGCACGCTGTAACCTCAGACTTGTATTACTAGTCTGAGCTGTAATTTATGGCGTTACGGTGACAGATGTATACTAATAATAATTATTTGCTTAATTTCGTAATTCAATATTTTGCTACTGAAATGAAAATTAAACCCCTATTTGTCGGCAATTTACAACTGTGATTATCATAGCACTGCACTGTATGCTTGAGTGGTTGATTGGTCAAGATTTCTTTAAAAACTCAGATTCAAGGGCAGAGTGGAAAAGTAGAAGTCACTTGAGAATAAACTCTTTTCATTCACTATTATGTGACAGGGTGGGTACATAAACTACCCTTTGTCATCTGAATTTGAATAGCCACACCTCCCTCGTTCTGTCCACAGTGCTTCATGAAGGCAAAATGCAGAGACTACACACTGATTTTGTTTCTCAAACATCCACAGTGGTTTTACCACACATGCAATGATTAACGGACATGGTTTAATAAATAAATATTCGTAGAGATTGTCCATGAAGACATCTATATCCATTGATTCAAATATTACATATTCATTTTTACTTGATGTGGGTCTTGTGTATTATATATATGCTATTTATTATATTGCTTAAATAATTGTGTAAAACATGTACAAATCACAGTCCCACTATAGACGGGATGAAAAACGTTGACTTTTGAAACAGACAGGAGAGCGTGGTGTGCAGCAAACAGGATACTAACAGTGATCAGCTGAGCATGCTTCGCGGAAAGGCATATCTCGCACTGTTTCAGATCTGTTTCACACCTTTGAACAATAGCCTTTTCCAGACCGGTCTATAGAGGGACTGTGTACAGATGTTGTTAGAAAGCTTCCAATACTTGGTAGTACAACATAAGTGTGGCAAAAATTTGTTATACAAAATGAGAGAGATACAATTGTTCACGAAATCTAAAAATAGCACAGAGAGATATATCTCTAAGAGACCGTGGATTCATACCTGGTATGTAATGTTGACCGAAATTCATTTCCCATGCCATTTGCAAACATCGGCTTTTTCCATATCGGTAATACATTACTCTACTCAGTGAGAAGATGTATAATAAAATAGCTAACTTACAGGTGAAAATGGATCTACCGAGTTCCCCTACTTCGATGTGTTGTGATATAGTTTGTGATGTCACTACATAATCCCTGTATTTTTATTGCACGTACCAGTAGAAATTAGAAAATGTGGGATTTCGAAATGGTAAACAACATAAAATGCCCGGATGTGTCTGCTTAAATATTTCGCTATCGTGTCCAAGTGCTGGGACTTGCTTACACTTGGTCATTTGTCTCTGGGTAGATTGTAATCGTCACAGTTTGTTTCATTTGCATATTATTAATAATAACAACAGCTTCGGTACGTGCACGTGTAGATTGGTAATTGACACACGTGTTAGTGTCAGGCATTTCTGAACTGGAACAAATTTGGGAATGAATGCGATTTCTTTCTCAGCTATGATGTAT